GCTATGGGACCATGAGAAAGTCACCCAACATCTCTGCTCCTCATCTGTAAAATGAGTATGGGAGACCAGATGACCTGTTAGGTCCTTTTCTGCTCTGTGACTGCCAGGTATGGGGATAGTTACCTGAAGAATCAATGTAGAGCACAGGGAGTGGGTCTTTTAGATGTCTGGACCCTGGGCAAGTCACTTAACCATGTTTGCTTCAGTTTTCTCATCTGTCAAATGAGCTGGAAAGTATCTCTGCCATGGAAACCCTAAATGGGGTCACAAAGAGTCAGACATGACTGAAAACTGAACAACCACACCTTGGTTAAAAGCTTGTCACTGCACCCTAGTTATAGCTGTTAAAGTTCCTCCCAGAAGTCTCCTGATCTGCCAAACAAGGGAGTTAGACCTGACCTCTCAGCATCTTTCCAGTTCTACATCTTTGTTATCCTACAAACTAGAAGCTCAGCCTCCCAGATTCTGCTACTGGAATGCAGCAAACCCAAACATCCAAATGACCCAGTTTATTTCTTCTCTTAGAATCATGATTCATTCATGGGTATGGAAAGGAGAGCTACCTTACACCCCCATCACCTCCTCCCATTTTACTGACTGCTCCAACCACTGGCTCCAGGGAGTAGGGGCTCTGAGCTCCTAATTGGCCATGCCCTTCAGAGACATGTGTCAGTAGCAATGAGCAATACACCAAAACCCATGGTCCACAAGAACAGGGAAATGAAATGAATCATTTATACCATTTTCTAGAGTTTGCCAAAATGTCACAATGTTGGCAAATAAATGAAAATGGGCCGTCTCTTTGTTTTGTTTCTGTGAGTGAGCACATTTAATACTGCTGCCACACAAAAACCTCACACACAATTATAATTACATAAAACCTAAGCCTGATAAATGGAGAAAAGGGGGGAAGGATGGCTTGGGGGGGCGGGGAAGAAGACTCGTCTTCCTGCTATAGCCTGTCTATCACTGAAGCTCTCTCTCTCTCTGCAGCTCTGAGACTCAGTGGGACTACAGATCTGACATACTCAATAAACAAAAGGGATTTGGACTTAGGCACTGACCATCTGTCCAGATCTTCCTCAACTTTCCAGGCTGCCATTGAATAAAATTATCCTTAATTAGGCTGTCAAGATTTCATTTCCATACCCAGATGTGCCAGATCTAGAAAGAGGGATTTAAAATTCTGTTGGAGGAATGTGACCTCATGGTGTGATTTACCAAGTGACCCTGCCTTAGGTTTCAGAGTCTGAATGTCATAATTCTGAGCTGTGATGAGGTTGATGAGATGTCCATCAATCTGAGAGCCGGAAGGACAGAGGAGAAAACTTAGATGCTCTGGGGACCTTTATTGTGCTACTGTTAATTCCAGAAACTCTGTGAGCTATTGAAAAGCTGTCTGAATGCCGGGGGGACAGGGCTGGAGTAGAATTCTGGGGCATTATTTCCAGTGACCTTCTACATTTTTATCTTTTGGTCGGGTCTCTAGGGCAGCCATATGCCCTCCCTTCCTTGACGCTGTAGTTCTGTTTACACTATTCCTCATGCCTAGAATGACCTTCTCCTCTTGTGATCTTATATAAATCTCACCAAAGTTCAAAGCCTAACTTCCACTAGGAGATCTTCCTCTACTACCTTATGAAAAAAGGCTTTATTCTATTTTTTGGTTTTTTTCACCCCATGAAAAAATGGAGCTATCGCCATCCCCATACCAAGAGAATCAAACCATCCTTTGTGACAAAGAAAGCAGTTAGGCAAAAAGAAATGATATGGTGACCGTATCTGACAACATATGCAACATTCTGCCCCCATGGTTCCCCACCTCTCTGCCAAGATGAGGCACTACTTAGTCCAGGCTGCTCTCCCCATACCCTGAGTTCCTCTGAACTTACTAGCTGAAGTACACAATTTAATACTTTATTACAAATGGTCTCATTTCCTAATTCCTTCACGTGTATAAGTCTACATCACCACCAAGGCTATTCACTTAGGACTGACGCTATAAACCCACCACCTAATAACAAAATGAATTAGCATATCTACTTGTCTCAGTGTTTGTGCTGATGTTTATGCACATGAGTAAGATGGCCTCAGAGCCCTACTTAGAGACTTTTGAAACTTACCTTACTCTAAAGCATCAGATTAAGCAGAGGATGCATCTGAAATTTGCACATGGAAATTCACAAATCTCACAGAGAGCCATTTGAGTGAAGATCAAAGTGACATGATGGAGCGCAGAGACTACAGGCTCCCCGGTCAGCAGGAGGAATTTGATACTAACTAGATCACAGAGCTGTGTTGAGGTCTTCAATTTCATATTCAGATTGTAAGCTCCTTGAGGGCAGGGACTGTCTTTTGACTCCTTTTTTTGTATTCCCAGCAATTAGAACAGTTCCTGGCACATTGTAGGTGCTTAATAAATGCTTATTGAATGAATGAATGTAAGGTCTTGCCATGGGGTCCAAAAATAGCATACAAGTACAGAATGGGAATGTCAGAAGTCTGGAACACTTTGCCAGTTTGGGACAAAGAGGCGTCCAGGTGCCCGGCCATTCATTGAGCAGGAGCAGCTGAGGAATGCAGGAAGCGTTTGTAATCAATAGGGTGGTTTGGAGATATTCAGTGAAGTAGCCCAATGAGTCTGGTGTAATTATTTGTGTGAAGCCTGGGAGAATGAATGATTTGGATATGTGAGAGTATCTGGACGGTGTGGAAAGACTCCGTGTAGCAAAGGAATGTGGGAGGTGCCATCACCACCCTGCCAAGAGGTGAGGGATGCTCCCTTTTTTGGGGGGTGTTCACAATCTGAGTCATGCCCCAAGAGGCTACCATGCCCACACACAGTGCACACCCACACGGGGAGTAGTCACAATGATGCTGTAATGTCAGATTCGGCTTTATGTTCTTTATGTGAATCTCGTCGGCTGAGCATCTGCATACCGGGGATGTCCCTGGGCCACCCAGCAGGGGAATGATGCTTACAAAGCATTTCAGCAAAGTCAGTGAGTTGGTGGTAAGCTATGGTAGCTTGCATAAAAAAAAAAAGCCAAGTGACCCAGAGACCTTTATTATTATTATTATTATTAACAAGAACAACAATAATTAGCTAACATTTATGCATTATTTTAAGATTTTCAAAGCACTTTCTATTTCTCTATTATTTATATATTATCCTATTTGATCCTCACAACAACCCTAGGACAGAAGTACTGTTATTACTCCGATTTTACAGGTGAAGAAACTGAGGCAAACAGAGGTAAAGGGACTTGCTCAGGGTCACCCAGCTAATAAGCATCTGAAGCAGGATTTGAACTCAGGTCTTCCTCACTTCAGGCTCTGCACTTTCCCCACCGTGCCACCTAGCCATCCCAACATGCCCACTGGGTCTAGTACAAAGGAGGTGATAATTCTGCTATCCTCTGCCCTAGTTAGACCACATATGGAATATTGTGTCTAGGTCTGAGCATTATATTTTAGAATGCATATGGATGTGGGTCAAGGGGTCAGTAGTAAGAAGCAAGAAAGGCCAAAGCCTCATAGATGATGCAAAGGACTGATGTCCACATGCCACAAAGACATCCTCCAAGAACGGAGTCGAAAGGCACCTGGCCCAGCAAGCCAGCACAGAATAGCAGTATACACACATGCATGTATATACGCACCACAATCTGGAGTATTAGCTCAGTCTTGGGCCCCACATTTGAGGAAGAATATTGGTATGCTGAGAGGGCATGGAGGATGGTGACAAACCCCTACCAAATGAGAATCTCTTCACATATTATGCTTGAGGAAACTGAGGCAGGGAGGGTTAAGTGACTTACCCAGAGTCACATAGCTAGTAAGATGTCATGCCTAGAGAAGAAGACCAAGCTGGGACACAAAAGTAGCCCCAACTCAGTGGGGGGCAGTGGACATGAGATGTGAGTTCGAATTTTGACCCTGCCAGATGATTTTGATGCCTGACTCAATGACTTTTAAGGACCCTGATGACTCTAAGTGTCTGAAGGACTGTCCAGGGCAGGAAGGTCTAGACGTGTCCTTTCTGCCAAGCCCCAGAGGGCAAAGCCAGGAGCCCTGGGCAGAAGCTGGGAAGACAGTCATGCTCACACATGGCAATGATGGCCAATTTGGGCTGGTATTTTTAGGTGCATTTAATGTGTATTTATGTGCAAACTTTTAAAATGGGAAGATGTCCTGACACTCACAAATTTCAGTGATTTTCTGCTGGCTGCACAAGCAGGCAAAATGAAAGAGAGCATTTCAATGTACTTTCAGACATTAAATAAATCCATTCCCTAAAATGCCAATTTAGAAGAAAACGATTCATGACCATAAAAGATAACATCTTTATGTCTGCCTGTCTGATGATGCTACAAAGCAAATCCACTGAGCTATGACTGAGCGACCCGAACTTTAAGCAATTCGGTTCATCTGCAAGAGGAAACAGACTAGATTATCTCAAAGACCCCTTCATCTATCTCAAGAGTTTCCTGTCAATCAGCCAGTCAGTCATTAAACATTTATTAATCACCTCCTACGTGTCAGGCACTATGCTAAGCACTGGGGATACAAAAAGAGGCAAAAGACAGTCCTTGCCCTCAAGATGGGGCAGCTAGGAGACACCATAGTGCATAGAGCTTGGACCTGGAGTCAGGAGGACCTGAGTTCAAATCCAGCCTCAGACATTTACTAGCTGTGGATTTGAATCCAGGTCTCAGGCTCTCTCCACTGCGTCACCTCACAATCCAATTGCTTTGTATTACTGTGCACATACTGAGCTGCTTCATCTTGGTCTCTGTATCACCAGGGCCTCACCCTACAGATGGCAGTAAGTCCCTTAATGAGCATCACAACTAAAGTAAAAATTAATGAGTCAAAAATACAAGGTTTGTTCTTCTCCACACACACAGCACTGGAGCTGATAAAAATCACCCAGGCTGGACGCACCCATCTATTGGCCACTTTGAGGGCCAGGGTTGGGGGGGGAAGGGAGAACTTACCTTCCTGAATTTTTCCACTTTTGATGTAAGGTGTGAGGAACAGTGGCTGTCCTGGGTCTCCGTGGCTCGGGCTACAGACACGAACATTCCCATACAAGGAGCGGAAAAGGCCTTCACTGGGCTCCAGGGTCAACAGGACCCACAAGATGGTGGCCTTCCACATCTTGCCAAGAACTCCCTCTGGAAGGAAAAGGCACAAGGAGTCACTCAGTGCTCTCACTGCCCATGGGGGCGCCTACCTGACCACATTCACTACCAGCACACACAAGGTTAATGCTTGTGTGTGTTCACACACACACACACACACACGCCACATCCATCACACAAACCCTGTGCAGCCAGCGGCACAAATATGATTATCCTCATTTCACAGATGAGGAAACTGAGGCTCAAACAGTGTCAGCGTCTACAGACTCACGGTTAATAAGCTTTGGAGGCAGGTTTCAAACCCGGCTCTTCTGACTCTGAGTCCAGGAGACACTCTTTTACCTCAGAGGACCACAAGTGTCCAACTGGAAAGGGACCTTTGATGTCATCCAATTTAAACCCTTTCACTTCAGAGGCCAAGAGACCCTCTATGACTGGCCCAAGCTTAGACAAATAGCAGGAAACAGAGTCAGAATTTGAACCCAGGTGCTAAGTTTATTTCCAAATGCTTCTCATACCAACTGCTGGGGAGAACGGGCCATGAGTCCCCACGCCACTGATGCTTATAGTTAGACAGTGTCATGGAATCACCAAGCATCCAACGTGGAAGGCATGGCAGCAGCCACCCAGTCAGTCTACACCCGGCCCAGCTAAGACTTCCCGTCCTCAACCCCTGCCACCAAGAATGCCCAGCCTGCTAGGGAAGACTCCACTTGCAGCCTATTTCACTCCTAGAAGGCCCTCATGTTTAGGAAGGGTTTTCACTACATCAAGTCCAAATCTGGCTTGTTGAAAAGTCTACCCACTGCCCCCAGTTCTACCTTCTGTGAGCAAATAAAACACGTCTAATCCCCCTTGCCTGGTACGGTAGAAAGCCCAATGAATTTAGAGTCAGAGCACGTGGTTAATGAAGAACCTTGGCTCTACCTCCTGCAGGGTAGTGCACAGATCAAAACGATGCAATAATCTCTCCCTCCCTGATGGACAGATGGGAGGTGGTATGTGCCAGGTGAGTCAAAACCAGCACCAGCACCTCTACTCCCACCTCCCCTCAAATCCCGATAGAGATGGCCCAGAATCCCGAGTCCGTCAGCCTCAGGCACCTCCCAGATCACTGGTGCTGCTTCAAGCCCAGCCCCAGGGCCATCACTGAGGGGAGCAGTCCCTGTGGAGAGGGAGCCCACCTATAGCACCACTGCCAACACCAAATGCTACTTTGGGCACATAAGCCCACCAGCCCCCACAGCGGTGGCCCCTCTTCTCTTCCGACGCTTCCCCCACCAATGGTCCTGCTCCCGGCTTAGCCACAACAGCCTTAATCTTGGGAAGCCCATTCCATGGAGATACAGCACGCCCCTGCAGCCACACTGTTGGAGTCCTTGGCCCAACCTCGGAATCAGGATTTTATCAGTAGAAATGACCTGAAAATCCTCACAGTCCCGTGTGCTTTGCTGTTACGCTCAAAGGACCTTTCCATTGGCCTTGCAGCTAAAATCTCTTGAGGCCATCTCCCCTGCTGGAAGGGGAGCTCTCTGGAGCAAGGCTACCTTGTTGTCTTCATCTATTCCCAGTCTCCATGGTGGTCCAAGCGCTTTCCTTCCTCCTCAAATGACCACGTGCCCACTCATCTGTCCCCGTGTTAGATCCCCCACCATGACCTCCTTGAAGGCACACATTGTCCCATTCTCCTAGTCCTCAACTGCAGCAGGTCATAGAGCAGGAAGCTACCCTGGGAGTCCCTGAGTCCAACCCTCTTCATTTTACAGGGGAGGAAACAGAGGAACAGAGAAGATAACTTGTCCAGTGTCACACCAATAGAATGTGTCTGAGGTAGGATTTGAACCCAAGTCTTCCTGACTCCAACCCCAATGCTCCATCCACTCTTCCACACTGCCATCCATGCTTGATAATCTCATGTTGGAGTGGATTGGAAATATAATCCAGATATGTGGATCTCAAAACCAAACCACACTCATGAGCCCAAGGAAAAGGAAGGGAGAAGCAGATCTGACAGTTGGCAGATCTGAGATCTCTCAGCACTCAGTCTCTGGGCCTTGAGACGCTCATCTCTGAAAAGAAGGGGCTGGCCTCAGTCTTCCCTGAGCTCCTGTCCAGGTCATGCTGTCCAGGAAGCTGGGCAGAGCACAGAACTTCAGATGCCAGGACTGAAAAAGCCATATGCAATTATGCTAATGCCCAGGCCCCTTTCTGCTGCACAGTCCTTTAAATGTCAAATCATTAAATCACATGAAAATGCAAAAACGTATAAAAATCAACGAACTCCACACACTTCTCACATCATTCCTTTGACAGAATATAAAAACACTGGCTTAATTTAAACAAGTGAAATTATCTTTCAGCTCCATTTCCCCAATAAGATAAAAGTTCATAATTGTAATTTGATGGAATATCTGATTGCCACAAGCATTTCTCTTATGGTTAGCATAATATAATTTCCTGTATTTAATACAAACAAACCCAACTAAATAGAGAGAGTGGCTAAGAAATGATTTTTACTGTCAGTGTCTATAATTGGGGGGGGGGTTGGAAATGATGCTGGAGAATCAAAGCAGACTCCCAGAAGCTTAGGGCCAGCAATTCGCTAGAAAATTTAAACAAATTTTAAGTATGTTTAAATGATACAGAACTTGTTAGTCTAATATTTGACTAGAAGACTTGCTTTTCCAAGGAAAGAAGAGAAGTAACCTCCAGGCAAACAGCTTTAGAAGAAAAATGTCTGTTGGTTGTGTAAGAGATGGAAGGAGGAACTGTTTGAGTAAGTGGTTTTTCCTGAGGGGAAAAAACAGACATCATCAGGACCTATGTTTTTCAGTGTTCACTCTACAAACCTCAAGGCCTTTTTAATGGAGGCCATTAATATTTAAATAACTAGGGAGATTATGGCCCTTTCCCTGTGATCAGAGGCTGACTCAGAGAAGTGAGAGACCAAAATGGCCTTGGTTTAATTGGCAGGAATAAAATAGAGAAGCAGGAGATGCTCCAATCTCAGCACTACCACTAATATTGGATCATGGAGTGATGAAGGGACAAGCATCCCTCCTCGGTGGATTACAGCAGGCTGAGCTCGCTTCCTACCTCTTCCAGAACCTGTCCTCCCACGTCTTACAGGACCCGAGTTATAGAAGGCAATGGACCTGGACCACAAGCTCTGGTAAATTCTACCATGTTGGGAAGGTATCGAGGACATTCCCAATGATAGATGGGGCTGTCTGCTTTGGGGGTGGGGAGGGCGGCCTAACTAAGCAGAGAGAGGCTCCTCCCCAGTAGGCCAGCTAGTGGGGGATAAATTCTCTGGCCATGGCAATCCATGAAATAAAGAAAAATACGAAATGGCAGAGATGGTGTCAGAGCGGTAGAAAATGGGACAGAAGATGTCAAAAATCATATACTTTCTAGATTATCTAGCATTATTAGCTGGCACTCTAAATGTGAGATCTTTGTCCAATAACCAAGGAATGGGCAAAGTGCCTGAGAAAGTGAATCCCATCTATCCTGACATTCTCCATAGGGTCACAGATGCCAGCCAGTAAGTCAATAAACATTTATTAAGCATCTACTATGTGCCAGGAACCTACTGTGTGTCATATTAAGCACCTACTACTGTGCTAAGCACTGGGGAATACAGAAAGAGAAAGACACTCCCTGTCCTCAAGGAGCTTACAATCGAAAGAGAGAGAAAACATGCAAATAAATCTGTACAAGTAAGCTATAGACAGGATAAATAAGAAATAATTAAGATAGGGAAGGCGCTAGAATTAACAGAGGTTGGGAAAGACTTGTAGTAGAACAGACGCATCCAACCTGAGGCTCTGTGACCCGCAGGGATCTGTTCCTCTTTGGGTTTGACACCATTGATGTAGAAGGTGGGATTTTAGTTGGGACAAGTCCCAGGGAGGTCAGAAGTCAGGGTGGAGGAGGGAGTGCATTCCAGGCATGGGGGACAGCCAGAAAGACTTTGTGGAGCCCAGAGATGGAGAGTCTTGTTCATGGAAAGCCAGAAAGCCAACGGCACTGAATCCAAGAGGATGTGTGGGAGAATAAGGTATATGAGAAGACTGAAAAGGGAGGAGGGGGATGGTTATGGCGGGCTTTGAAGGCCAAACAGAGCATTTTGAACTTCATCCTGGAAGTAATAGGGAGCCACTGAAATTTACCAAGTAGGGAGGTGACATGATCAAACCTGTGCTAGAGAAAAGTTGTGTTAGTGGCTGAATGGAGGATGGATTGTAGAGGGAGGGACTTAAGGCAAGCAGACCCCCCCAGCAGCTAATGAAGCTGTCCAGATGAGAGTCCACCTACCCAAGGCGGAGGTGTCAGTATCAGAGGAGAAAAGGGGCCATATTGGGGAGACACAGCAAAGGTGAAATCAACAATCCTTGGCACCATATTGGATATGGGGGGGGTGAGAGAGAATGAGGAGTCAGGAGGACTTCTAGTATGGGAGCCTGAGGGATGGGAGGATGGTGTTGCCCTTCACAGCAACAGAGAAGGTAGGAGAGGGAAGGTTTGGAGAGAAAGGTGGAGCTCAGTTTTGGACATGTTTGAGATATCAAGCTAGAAGGAAACATACAGGTCACTGAGTCTATCCCCCTCACTTCATAGATGAGAAAACTGAGGAATAGAGATTAAGTGACATTCCAAGGTCACACAGGTAGTAAGTTGCCAAGCCAGCATTTGAACCCAGGTCCAGTGAATCCGAACCCAGCATTCTTTTCACTGCCCCATGATGCCTCCTGAAGACTGGACTTACCAAGTATCCACGTGAACAAGAAACATCATCATAGAACACTTGGTTATCTCATATCGCAGTGTTCACAGTATTTGCAAAAATATCATCATGGTAATAACTGCAGCAGAAGATGGAAAAGATGAAAAAGCAGAGGAACTCCAGGAAGAACACAGTAAAAAGACCCTCCAAATAATACCAGTATGTATTCTGATAGCTAGCAGCTGGGTGGTGCCACAGTGGATAGAGAGCTGAGCCTGGAGTCAGGAGGACCCGAGTTCAAATC